TAGCATTTTCCTTTAAATGTTAATGAGCTCTGCTGACCCTGCCCCTCTCTTCCAAGCTGCTCTCAGAGAGACTGTTTACTTTAGCTGCATTCATCGTGAAACTTGCTAATTAGCACATTATTAGGAAAGGCGATTTGCAAAGATTCATTAAAAAACCTTATATTCACTTCTTCTGTAGGTTAAGCTGGATCACGAATGATTCGCGTGAAAATAGACGCATTTAGGTAGATCAGGGGCACATTCCCTTCAAAAACAAACGTAATCCACTGCGTCTTCAGCGGCTCAGATGTCGGGAGTAAATGACGACTGCTATGTTCATTATTACATCCAACAACAGAACACCTCAATCGCTTAGGAGTCATTCTTGTCTACATCTGCTCCGGCGGTGAAACAATGGCGGTCTGATGACAGTCACTCAGGGCGGGTCTAAGGTAAGACACCAGTCCAGTCTGTGCTGAAACGCTACTGTCAATCAAACTATCGTGGGAGGGGCCTGTTTTTGTGATGTCACACTTTTTTTTCTCAATTTGAGAAAGGGGTAAAGATTTTAGTAGTTCAAAAAAAAAAACCACTGGGTGGATTTTTATCATTATAGGGTGGTTGTGTACACACACTGCCAACACACATTTTAGTTCAAACAACTTGTAAAAGTGCATGTAGCATCCTATGACCCCTTTAATAGCAAGGCTTATATTAGAGATATTTGAAATTAGATTTTAACTTTCATTCTTACAAAGTTGAAGTAGATTAGTGAGTTATAGACTTCTAATAATATATAGAGTTAAGGCTGCAAAGTATGTGCATAATACAGGACTGCTTAAAGCTACACAAAAATGTGTTTACCATTTAAAACTAAATAATATGAATCTTCATATGTCTCTAATGTTCCTCTTCAATATTAAGGGCGATTTAAAATAAGTGAGTGGATTCTCTATATTTATGGCAACATCACAAAAATGGCCATCTTCGCACCCGGAAACAGGGCAAATAATATAACAGTATATAAATAAATGTCTTACCACGCAGGAGCAAAACATACAGTCCGGCAAAAAATCTATCCATAATTTCCACCAAATTAGATGCTGTTGAATATATATGTCATACTGTTGCTAAAGTGAAAGCGAAAGTGTCTGTTTGTTTTACACACAAAAAGCTTGTCTCATTTTGCTAGTAATGTGACGTTTGACACCGAAGCTCCGAAACGAGGGTAAAACAAATACACATATAAACAAAAAACATGACTCATGTCGTTTTTTGCTTTACGGATGGGCGACATTTGCCAGTGGTGTGAGCATATGCGGAAAAGGAAGTCGTGTTTGTGACTGCTTCGCATAGGCTAAATATGCCCTGCGCAAATACCCACACTTGCAGCCTTGGCCACTTGAGAGCGCGTGCACATGACAGGAAGTAAGTGTGCAAGATTGTCCCAGATCTTAAAAATGCCAAAGTGCAGTGCCCTTAACACAGTGGTTCTGAATTCCAGTCCTGGGGGGCCCCTGCTCTACACATTTTGCATGTCTCCCTTATTTAACACACCTGATTTAGATCAACAGCTGGTTAGGAGAGAGATCCATGAACTGAACTAATGAGCTGATGATCTCAATCAGGTGTGTCAAATAAGGGAGACATGCAAAATGTGCAGAGCAGGGGGCCCCCAGGACTGGAATTCAGAACCACTGCCTTAACGCACACTTAGCGTATCCCATGTTTTGGAATACATCCTGAGACTTTTTGCCGAGATCTCGTGAGAGGTCACAAACCTTTCCAATTTAAGTGAAATATTGATAATAATTAGATATACAGATAATTTCGTAGTAAAACAAAGTGTTGAACATTTAATTGGTGCAAAGATAAGTATATTTATTTTGTGCAATATTTGCAACTGATATTTATCACTTTAATTACAAGCATCACCAATTAAATTGTGTCACATGTTATAGGGACTACTGAACAGACATTTGGAAATTGATTTTAAAATGCAAAGTATTGAAACTAAAAATAAATCTCCATAAACTTTTGCATTTTTACAACACTATAAGTGTCCCCCATCAGGTAATGAAAAGTTCTACACACACTTGTGGTCTTCATGCTCACTTGAACACTTGGCCTAAATACAGGAAAGACGTCATATAAGTAGTCAAGTGTAAAGACCGCAAGTGTGGGTATTTGAACAGGGCAGTAGTCATGCTTCATTGTGCACTCGATAATAAGGGCCTAAACTATGGTTTTGGACACCTCTACAAATGGCTGTCCCCTCAAATATTTCACTAGATAAGGGAATAATTATGTATTAATTAATACATTGATTTATTCATTTTTATTATTAATAAAATAACAGCTAGAACATGATTAAAAAAGACAGATTACATAGTTTATATATATATATATATATATAGGTTTCATTTATTTGA